TGGTTCATAAATGCCAAACCATCATCTTGGATCATTGTTTTAACAATTCACAAGCTAATCTTGGTTTGCTCACCTCAGCAGTAAACATTAAAAAAGAAACAGCATGACATTTTCAACATGCTGCAGGATCACAAAATGCACCCTCTTATATCCCGGACGAATGGAAACCCTTTTATGATCCACTAACTCATATTGACCCATCGATTTACCAGGATCTCATCAACAATCTGTCTGAGAAGGAATGGACTCAGATTATTAAAATGCTTTCAAACAATAATGCTAGTGGCCCTTCGAAGATTTCTAATGAACTTCTAAAACATCTTGGTTCTCAAACAAATAAAGCTTTCTGGACTTTCATATGTGGCTGTCTGAATCTATCCATAACACCAGATGCGTGGAATTATACTTACGTTTACCCTATCACCAAACCAAAATCATGGGAATATAATCTTAACAACACATAACCGATTACCTTATTATAATGCCTTAGAAAAGCCCTGGTAAAGCTTATCAATAAAAGGCTACTAGAGATTCTCTCCAATCATAATGTTTTGAAAGGAAACAATTTTGCAGGTCTTCCCTTCTGATCTACTTTTGAACCCATCCATATTTTAGATAATCTCATATATGACCACCATCACCAGCACAATGAACAACTGTGGTTCCTTTCTAAAATATGTCAAAAGCATATGACAGAGTTAATATGTCTATGCTTCAAAAAGCCCTTCTACGTCTCAAATTACCTCCTTCCTTTTGCAACTTCATCCGTGCTCTGTTCTTATCACGATTTAACCAAGTCTTTACAGCTCATGGAAATACAGATGACTATCAAATGATTGCTGGTATTGATCAAGGCGAAATAATCTCCCCCATTCTTTGGTGTATTTACTACGACCCCTTGCTCGTATGAATTCAACAATCCAATCTAGGTTATACTTTGAAAACAGATTGATTCACTAATATCACAACAGCTACTGCACCTATTTTTGAAGCTCATGTATCTTGCCTAGCCTATATGGACGACACTCTATGGTTGAGTAAATTCAAACATGACCTCAATAATATTATGTTGATCGCTGATAGCTTCTATCATTTAAATGATATTAAAGTTAATTGGGACAAGTCTGTACTTTTAACGTCACTTCCAACACAGAATAGAGTTAATTTTATGCTTACCAATAATAATATATGGTTACAGCCAAGTGATCCCAAAACTCCTATTTGTTATTTAGGAATTTGGGTCTCCATCTCTCAGAACAAGAAATTTATTTGTCAACAAGTGCATGAGGAAATTTCTAACTCCGCCAATATCATGAAAAGAAAAAGATTAACCGACAAACATCTCGCAACTTTATTTAATGTGGTGATCATTTCGAGGGTACTTTACAAATCACAAACTACTTATCTGACAACTAACTTTTGTGACATGCTAATAGGAACCTTCTGTAAAACATTTAAAAAAGTCTTACATTTATCAATTAGCACCCCCAACGCAATTATTCACTCTTCAAAGACTTTAATCTGATACATTTATATAATCATCAATTATAAGCTAAGATTTCGAACCTACAAAAGATGATTAATGATTCTGGATTACTTGGGATTACATCTAAGATTCGTACCTTGCAACTTCAAATTAAGAAATAGCTACCATCATCGCCCTTTCATTCTTGGCCCTTTCATTCACCAGCTCTCTTTAATGACTGGTGGTCCTCAATATTAACATTGATGAGAGTATTGAATCTCTCGTTCGCTACTCATGATTTAAATGCCAATGTTATGCAAGGAGGTATAAAACCTATCCTAGAATTAATCACTCTGCTTGAATATTGGAAGTTTTCCAATCACCTTCGTCAAATAGGATTGCTATTCCTTTCGCAACTGATGACTTCAAATGGAAACTTTTTACTTCTGTTTCATGATTTTTCCCAGAACATTAGAACCTTCAAGTTCAGAAAACGGCCGAAATGGTTTGACATTATCGAATCAACCGTTCTTGCTGACTCTCAAACACACACTATATACCTGACCTTACAAATAGAGCACCAATGTTATGTTAAACAAGTTACTTCTTCAGTAGACTCAAAAGGAGTCACCTATATTACGCTATGGTCTCCTCATTTGAACAACTCAATAGTGGGAAAGATTCTCCTTATTGAGCAGTATACTATACATATTCAACATTATACTATGACAATTGACGATTAGTTTCGTTCTGTTTTAGATTCCTGTTTTGGCTGTCCTCTTAATGACTCATCTACAAGGTCACAAAGAAAAATGTTGTAGAGAAATTCATTGTGTTGCTTTAAAAACCCGCTCCATTTGTGTTCAGTGGTTCCTATAAAAGCCGAAAACTATATCGGGCATCTTTGTCCTTTGTCCCCTCTTATGTTATATGAACTTGCATTAAATTCACTTAATCCCACCAACAACTTCCTTATGCTTCCATAGAACATCGACATTCCTCACTGTAATTATATCTTTGATAACGATTCTATAATACAACTTACTAACTTAGCTCATAACTTTTCTAATACAACTTCCTTATCCTTCTATACAGATGGCTCTCTCAAAGATCTTGGTCTCCCATCTCTCCAGATGGGTTTAGCCTGGTTGCAAACTGACCCAAATTGGCCTTCGACTTCATTTCATTCGTCCTTTTATCTATATAACCCATTCTCTCTCTTAGCTGAATTATTAGCAATTATATCTACTACATTCGTTACTCCTTCACATTCAACCGTCTGCATTTTCACTGATTCTCTCACTGTTATTAACATCTTTCACAAACTTCATTTCTTCCTCACCACTTTCTCCTCACGCATCTCCATTTACAAATTCCATCTTTATTCTCTTTGGTTATACTTTTTCGATTTACTACACGCAAAAAACATCACTTTACATATGAACAAAGTTAAAGCACACGCTGACGACCCCTTTAATAATATCATAGATTAGCTAGCAAAATCTAATAGACCCACTTTATCCTTTAATTTTAATCCCTTCAATTCCACCATGATCCCACATTTTAATAACATGCCTGTTCTCCTTCCAATATGTCATTTTATCAAAAGCCTCCTACAAGCAAAACACTTTAACGACGTCTTACTTATACTGCAATTTACAAAATATTGTTCACTAAAGGTTGATTGGAATGTTATCTTTCAAGTACTGCATGATAATGAAGCTAAATCTGCTACATCCTTCTGTGTCTCCTTCACCAAAAAAACAGAAAATTAAATTCATGTTAGAAATGCTTCCATCCTTAAAAGTTTTGAAAAAAAGGAACCCATTACTATACAAACAAAACTGGACGTGTTATAGATGTCAACTCGATTATAAAGATTTTAATCACATCTGGACTTGCCAATACTTAATAGAAACTGTTATCAATATTATAGTATCAACAAAACATGAAATTTACCACTATCTATCGCTACTTAACAATAATTCAATTAATTCTCAAAGTACCATTCATCAAATAATGACATCCTCCTTTTGGAATCCTTATCACAATCCAATTGACTTCTGTTTTATAGATCTCATTAAAGGCATAGTACCGTTGGACTTATCTAATTTGATACAGATCATTACAAATGACAGCTTCATTACTATGTCACTTATGTCACACATTTACCATCACATTTTTACATCAGTTTCAAAAATCTGGGCCGATAGATGTGAAATTTTCACTAATGCAGAAAAAATAGCTAACATTACTTTACAACACAAAAAGAATAATTGGATCACGAGTGGTTTTTTTAACTCCCCATCTCCTTCTACACTTATTCTTTCATCATTTATTTCTTCCTTTAGGTATGGTAATGACTGGTCAAATTTTTGGATAGGTAGCAAACACTCTCTCCCATCTGGATGGTTAAGTTTCCTTTTCTCTTGATTGAGTTATTAGTCTAGAACAGTGCAAGGTTGACTTTGATTTATTTTAATTAGTTTAGAATACTTAGAAGTTTTTGTATTTTCTTTTCTTGTCTTGTATTTTATTTATATCTTACTTGCTTTAAATAAAGACCATGCAAAGCTACCGCACGTTAAAAAAAAAAAAGGTAAATTAATCTCAGAAGGTCATTTTCTTAGCTCATGCCCCATATAGTAATTTTACATAATCTAGTAATAGGCATATTTGCTTCTTAACTAAAGTACCTTTAGTTTTCGGATTCTTTTGAGATTCTTTTGCACAGTGAATTTTAAAGTTAATTCGAAGCTAGAAATAAAATTTTTTTTTTTTTATTATGTAGATTATCGAAATCTTAAAAAGTACTTTAAACTGTATAAATTCAATTGAAATCGATCGGCCAATCACGTGAAAGTCCTCCTGAGTTGGCGACTCAAAAAAAAAATTTTTTTGCCTGTGACCTATATAAGAAGTTTCCGGGGTCCTGATTCATTACTTCATAATATCAAACCTACTTAGACGGCAATAGTTACGGATGCAAAAATTCTGTTTTCTTTAGAGAACATTATTTTTAACAAGTCTCAGTCGTTTTTGTTAACTCGTCATCAAAGCTAAAAACCGGAAAGCATGATTGGCGCCGGAAGAAAAAAACAACATTTATTGCGTTTTTGTTGGATATGATGAGTAATGTTAGGCATATTTAAATTGAATACAAATTATTTGAAATGCTAATCTATTAAAATTAAATTTATAAATATAAAAATCTAATTTACAATGAAATATTTACAAGTGCATAAATAAATACAATAATATATACAATTAGTAAAAAGAAACTAAAATGATAAATCAAAGGGGAAGATATTTATATGTATTCTGGAAGTAATTTTTGAATTTTTTAAATTCGCGTCCGGGATTGCAATTTTTAAAGCAATTTTTACATTTCCAAACCGATCGTTTATTCTTATCAATTATATCATACATGCAAAAGCAATGAAAACTAAAAAAAAAATAAAACAAATTATGTTTAGAATATTAATGATATCAAAAGGCAAATTCGAAAAAAAAATTTTTTTTTTTTTTAAAATACTTGCAAAATATCACATTTTTTACACCTCGTCATTTTGGCACATTCATCTTTTATAACTTTAAATTCCTCCCCCAAATCAGTTGACCAATATGCAGGTGCCTTAAAAGTTTTTGAGATTCTACAATCAGGAGAGGCACAAGGTACCTGCAATTGTCTGCACTCCCTACAGACATAGAAGGTGTTTGGATCATTACAGTATTCGTCAGAAACCCCAACGCATTCTGGATGGAACCAGTCCAGACATATCTCACAGCATATCTTAATGTTAAAAAAGATAAATGATTCGAAATCATCAATGGAAAAACATTAAAATTTAAAATTAATTTTTACCATATCCTCTCCTCCATAATTTTCTTCACTTTGTTCACAAATACACATTTTTTTACAATTATCTGTTCTCATCTTTTTTCGCTCTCTTGCTTCTTCATAGTAATCTTTTACTTCATTTATATGCTCCTCCTCTCGTTCCGCTTTTCTCTTCAGTCCTACATAGAAAAAATATATTCAGTTGTGCTGCGCCACAAATATGACGATTATTCATTTTCCAGAAAATTAACCATGGTAAATGAGAATATCATCATCCTCTTCCAATATTTGTTTAGTCTTCCGAGCCATTCTTCCTGCGGTATATCTGATTTTTCTATCGGTGACGTTATAGCGACTGCCTTTGTAACCAATTTTACTACTGCTACTGCTTTCCCTACCGTTGTTGGTAATAGTAGTAGTAATGATAGTCGTGCTGTTGTTACTACTTACTTTAGACCTAGTATTCATTTTTTCTTTTAACTAAGGTTTTGGAAAAAAAAAAAAAAGTGATCTGGGTATTTTCAGGTGCAAAATAGTTTAAATATCCACTAATTAATTTTATAGGTATCATTTTAGCCAAATTTGGATATCTGACATAGCGGAGCGGACTGTTGTATCAGTAGAATATATATGTAATCCAATCTCCTGAAATTTTAGGTGATATGTCTATTTATTACCTATGAACCTTGGAAATTTCATCATCATTACACTAACTTTTTGTGACTGCGCATCACGAATTTAATACAATGAACGAGGTTTTTTTCCAGAAATGTAAATCCTTTTTTCTTTTTTAAGAAAAAAAAGGAAATATCTTGACTATACAATTTTTTTGACTTTGTATAAGTAGGGTTCATTAATTCATTTTTTTTTATTTCTCTCATATCATGCGATATTATTTATATAAATCATTTAATTATATTAAAATGGAACATAGTAAATCATATGATCCGTAAGGTGATTTGTTATTACTTAATGCCTTATGGAAATTTGGAAGGAATTTAATGAATATTATCTTTAAATGGTTGTGATCATCAATTTTAATTAAAGATTAAAAAAAAAATTAATAAAATTAAATCAAAAGATTCTTTATAATTCAATTTATGTGTTGCAATATTAAAATACAAGTAATTCATATATGTGTGGGATTTTAACGATAAACCACATCGAGATATATTTCACCCTGAAATTCATCACTTTCTACTATTCCTTCTATATAAATAAGATATAAAAAAGGTGTTTCCTTAAAATGAACAACATAACTCACATACTCACGAACGCATAGAGATCATCAATATCAGATATAGCATTGTTAAATATCTGTTGGCTTGTAATACATACTAAATACGTTAGTCTCATTATGATAATGAAATCTATAAAAATAATTCTACCTGTAATAAATTTTTGAAATGTAAGTGGATGATAAAGATGATGAAAAATAAATATAAACATAAAAAGCAAAAGTGATGATGCAAAGGAAAAGAAATATATATATATATTTTGGGGAAAATAAAGAAATAAAAAATTTTTAAAGAAATTAAATGAAATCTTCTCCCGACATAAACCCACTTTTGAAACGCATTTATTTCACTCATAATAATACAAAGGTTCGTGGAATGGACGATAAAAATCCGATATTTCTCCGTATTCGATTTGTATAATTTCTTTTCCTTGTTGTAGTAACATTTGATCAAAATCCACGTCAAAATTTTTTCTAAAGTATCTAAACAATTTAAATTTTCCATCATCACCACTCCCTTCATTTCTATTCAAAGCAAATTGTAAAACAAGCTTTAAATTATCATCCCTAATCAATTGATTATTATAAAAATCCAATTCCATTAAATTGTTACATTCTAAATTTTCCAACAATACCCTTAAGAAATAAGATATGAATTCATTATTTCTTTCATTATGATCGTTATAAATATTTAAACCAAAAACATTATTTCTTTCGTAATAAATATCTAAACCTAACTTCGATAACGAATTAGATAATGAATTGGCGAATGCTACTATATAATTATCATTTATAAAAGATGATAATTTTAATTTCATTTTAAGATGTTTTAATTCCCTAAGTACTTCCAATAACTTAATAAATAAGTAAAAGTCGTCGAGTAGTAATTCACATGATAAATGTGTTAAATTATAACAATATTTGCCTAACGACGTAATTATGCTCGAATTGATCTTTCCCAAATTCAATGTTCGTAAATTAATGTTTGTCATCATAAGTGTTTTCTCAAGACCGAGCGCAACAATATTATCGATGACTACATTTGTTGATGGTACAAAATTATGTTGTTGTTGTTGTTGCAGCTGCTGTAGTTTGTCGTACAAATAATACTCGTGTTCATTCTGTTCACCCACACAATCTTCAATACAGTAAATGCTCTTGATTTTCAATTGATTGAATTCAAATTCTCTAATAACAGACAAATCCCCCCCCTTGGCAATCTCTTCGTCAATCCTTCTCCCAAAATCCCCAATATAATTCCAAGCATCAACGTGCATGTCATCTCCAATGATCACTTCTTCTGCAATAAACTCCAACAATTCCAAATTAACACAATTCCTCAACACCCTTAGGATTCTTGCAAGATTCTTCATCTTTCCTCCAATTTTCAAGTACTTTAAAGTTGTCGCTTGTGAATTAATAATTTCCTCAAACTCACTTAAATTTGCAGAAATTAAAGATTCATTAAACGACAACGCTTTTAGGCTGAATTGATGTGTTACAAAATTAACGATACTATTAATAACACGTTTGGTAAAAGGAACATCATAAGGAGTCGAAATATTGATCGTGATGTATCTAATTGAAGAGGTATAATACGATAAATTATCGAATAAATCATGTAATTTCTTTTCCTCCTTTTGATTGTAAGAATTACTTCCTTCAACATAATAATAATCAATCTCAAAGTTCACCAAATTAGAAATAGAATAAGCAAATTCTTTATGTTTAATAAAAACCATCTCATCGTTTGAATTAAGTCTAAAATACCTCAACGATTTTAACATCGTGGTCGATCCAAATAATAAATTGCTAATAATATACTTTGCATATTCTAATTTATACTTGTAATTCGTCGAGTAATTCAATGGATCAATTAATTGCAACCATTTATCCACCAAAATTTGAAATGCTCGCGAGTTAAAACTTGTCAAGTATTCAGGATAAGGAAAAAATGGGGTAGCAGGTGATCCAACTGGAATTCCGGAGACGTTTAAATAAGATTTATCTTCATCCACTAAAGAACTTATATATGTGCTTATTATGAGTGGTGCTTTAGGATTATCCAAATCTATATGCTCAAAAGGGGTGCTCCATAGCAAAGGTATTGCCAAACGACTAAAAAATCGATTGACGAATAAACAAGAATGTAATGTTTTTATATCTCTTTTAAAATTACTAAAAATTTCATTATAAAATTCAACCGGAATCGGATTATATACATTAGTTTCCATCTCTAAGTAAATATTATTCATTAAAAGAAGTGGGGCGAGTAAAAAGAGAGAGGTTAAAGAAAAACAAGTAAAAAAATTTTTATTTGTATTTTGATCTACACTAAGTTGAAATATGTAAAAAACAGGTTTTGTATTGCATATCACAAGGGTTGCAAAAAGTGTATATATAATATTTTTTTTTTAAATTTCCCACGACTCCAACAAGGAATTACGTCATTTACTTACGGGAATATTTTTTTTTTTTTTTTGTAAAAAGAACTTTCATTCAAAACTCGCGTAAACATATTCTATTTATAAAATTTTAAGAACATTTTTCTGCAGTTCAATGATCTGCAAGGGAAAAATTGAACCAATATACAAATGCAATTAAAAATAATCGAGGTATGACATGTGACAAATTTATAATTTACTACATAGTCCTAACCTTTAATGAATTAAATTAAATTTATCATATTTATCATGTCGTTTTTGTTTGAAATTCATGTTTCACGAATAATTAAAATTGGAACAAGTATAAAACCTTATAGAATTATTTGTAGGGAATAATCATTTTTTAGTGAGCAAGAACTTGTATCATATTTTGTTATCAAGTGTTAATGCATCAATATTTCTCAAAATTTTATTCCTCTAGACATTTAGTGATAGTCTGGGAGAATCCTTTAAGAAGGTTACTGAGTAGATTTGGATGTCAAGTATTTTTGGAATTTGAATGATTATTAAACTTCTCTATATGGCAAATTCGGAGAACAAATAAAAATTTACATTAACTATCACAAATAATAAAATAACTATTTCCAACGAGTCAACCAAACAAATAATAAGACGACATATTAGAATAATAATAATTATTTATTATTATAATTATTATTATTCCTGAAATTCACTAATAAAATTTTTAGTATCTTTATAATTCGACAAGAACAATGTTTCTAATTCTTAAGAACGATGATCTTCTCACGTTGAAAGCGTTGGTTGGATAATTAATGCAAATAATCGCTTCTTACTATGATTATCATCGCCAATATATATGAATCCATAAAACGCGTGAAATGATTCAGATAACCATATATAAACTGGTTGGAATTGATACAAAGGTTAAGAAGGTTGAGGTAATCGCCTTGAATTTATACAAAATGAAAGCAAGTGTTGAAAAGGTGAATAATAATTCCTCGTGCTAATCACATTTGTGACTATTGAAAACATACATGTTCATGGCTTTGCATGAGATGGCTTTATTTGTATAAACAGCAGACGTGTCAGGTAATTGGGCTTAGACCTCATAATTTTTTCGTCCATTTTCTCAGGAACAATCTCCAGACATCTTTTTTTCATGGGGCGTATGATAATCATTTTATATAAGAATTCGATATGGTAAATGTCAGAGTTTAAAGATTCAAAAAGAAAATTATGAAATTAATATGGACAAAAATTATGTTAAACGTAATTATCCATATGATTTATAAATTTAATATTGGTGTAATAATGTGTGAAACTATTTATTAATCTATCAGACATAGTCGAGAATTGCTAGATTTCAAGGTCAAGTCTGTTTTTACGAAATATCGGAATAAATGTAATAATTTTAAGAGGAAAGTACTTTGATGCAACGCGATTCCTTGTGCACGTCTTAGTAAACCTGAGGCAGATAATTTTGTTAAATGCACGTAGTGAGTTTATAATTGTATGATTTCTTTATGATTTCTTTATTTAATTTTTAATCTAAAAATTTACCATTTGTTGATTTGCGTTTCGATAAAAGGAAATTGTATGGAAAATTCAAAAGTAAAGACGCAGTATCATTTCGTTTCAATTTATTTGATCTTATTGGACTCTTTACTGCCAATATGAACAATGTTTTAAAAATTGCATACTTCTACTATTGATGTTACAGTAGTATGAATTTCTCTCAAGTGACGGGACCCGAAATATAGGTTTTGGGTCAAATTATTTCCCAAAATACTAAACCAATCCAATCAGATTATATATAGTTTGAAATTTTTATAAAAGGTACTTCTAAAATATGATATTTATAGAAGAGCGAAACTTGATTATATTAACATTTTTTTCTATTATCCTTGGCTAATTTTCCAAATAAAGTGTTTAAAATAAAAATAAACTTTGTAATTAATTTAAGATTATGGGATTTACTTAATGTGTAAATAAACATTTTATAAAATGCTGTAACAAAAAGATCACAGTCATTTAAATAACTGAATTATTAGTAGCGATGATAAGCATAAGTCTTCTTGATGCAGCATTAATATACCCATCATAACAAAAAATGCCTCCAAGAATTCCAAATAACGCAATAAGAATTCTGGAATTTTGAGTAGAATTCTTGTTAAAAAAAGGATTTAAAGTAGAATTTGAAAAGAAAGAATTAGAGATAAGATCTTTATAATATGAGAACATTATCAATAATATGTACTATACAATTATAAGTCATTACATCTAATTATGTAATTCTAGTTTAGCATTTCTAATATTCAATACTTCATTTTCATTGTAAATATCATTTCAAATGTTTTTGTTTTTGCATCATTTTCAATAAACTTGCATAAATTATCATTTTGGTATGAAAGATAATATTGACAACTAATTCTAATTTTTTTTGCTATCATATTTATTATTGAAACTAGAGCTCTGAACAGGTCAGATCAGGTTGGATAATTTGACTTGACCTGATCTGATAAGATCAGGTCAGGTCAGACATAAAATTGACATAAATTAAATATACATTTTACCTGACCTGATCTGACCTGACTTGTCTAAAAAAGGAATTTTTTTAGTTTTACTAATTTAACAATATTTAAATTCAAATATAAAAGTAATATAATTAATAAAACTAAATAAGTATTAATTTTGTTTAATATTTTTTTTAAAAAAAAATATAAAAAATATTGATATATTTTTACATTTTATTATTTTCAAGAAAAAAAATTACTAATTTTAATAATACAGAATTTAAAATTACAAGTTGCAAATTAGGTGACTGCTAATATAATTACAAAAAATGTTTATAACTTTACAATTATTAATCCAATTATAATAAAATTTTATATTCATATATTTTGAATCTGCTAAACAACTTTACTTATGCAACTAAAGTTGATTTCATTTAAGCAAAATGCTTAATTGCTCTTTGAAATCATTAAATAAATAAAAAAAATAAAAAAACTTTATGAGATAATATAATCACAAAAAATATTCATAACTTTACAACTACTAATCCAATCATAATAAAAAAAATTTATATACACATGTTTCGATCTCATTGAGCAACTTTACTTATGTAATAAAAGTCGATTTCTTTTGACTAAAATGCTTAAATATCACTTTAAAGTAATAGAACAAATAAAAAAAATTAAAATAATTTGTTAGTCAATATAATTGCAAAAAATATTTATAATTTAAAATTTAACTTTTTGATTATAATAAATTATAAAGTATTATATAAACAACTTTATTAGAATATAAAATAAAAGTATATTAAATAAAATTAAAGATATTTTAAAAAAAATAGATTAAAAAAAATTTTTTAAATATTTTATTTCGTTTAATTTGATTGGTTGATCTGAATTATATCAGATCAGATCATAAGTTTAACCTGACCTGATGTTGATCTGAAAATTTGTTTAGTTAGATTGGATCACAAGTTGATTTGACCTAATTCAGAGCTCTATTAAAAATTGGTAAAAGTTTAATAATTCATATTATTATATCTGATTTGTAACTCAAATGAAATTCACAAAATAAATAATGTTAAGACTAAATTCAGAAAATCATAGCAAAAATTCGTAGTAAATGTTAAAGATTATTATCAATCAACACGAGTAACTTTTGGATATTTCAAAGATTGATTACATCTTAAGTCAATATAATGAATTAATACAATATCACGCAAAGTTAATAAATAATAATAATTTATATACAGGTTATAGAGTTGCAAAAAATAAGTTTTTACTTGATTAATTATACTTTTTTATTAATATTATAATAAAAGTAAGTTCTTTATCCAAAAGTATCATAAGGATCAATCTCATCTAGTGAGATATTAACTTTACGTCTTTCTTGGATATAGATTAATTGATAAAATTATTCATTAGTATTGATACTTGATAAAAATATAAAGATATTTATACATGTTAAATAATTAATAAACTAAACTAAACTAAATATAACTATGAAAATAAAATGACATCATTTAGAAAATAAAGTTGATAAAATTAATCAGTAAAGATGATCATGACAATAAAGTTACTTGTTATATTGGAAATAAAATTGACATCTAAATCTATAATATTTCATACTGATTATCAAGAACATAAAGTTGACATCAAGATCAGTGAAATAATCAGCAAGAACATTTAATTGACATCAGATTTGTAAGCAAATTTTAGCCAAAATTTACCCTGTTACAACATCAATTTTAATACATTATATATATTTATCTACTGCAATAAAATTTTAATTTATTTAATAATTATTTTTATAATTGTAAAGATAAAATTGTGAAGCTGTTTGTTAAATAGAATCTGTTGTATTATTGGTTTATTTGATAATGTATTGGAATTAGTCACTATTTTTAGTAAATTGCAGCTATTCATTGCATTAGAATCTGTCATATTTTTGATTTATTTAATGATTATTCTTATTGTTATGAATATAAATTATTATTACAGCAGAATTTGTTACATTTTTAGTTTATTTGATAATTGTTCTTTATTGTTGTTAATGTAAAATTGCAGCTATTTGCTTCATCAGAATCTATTATATTTTTGATTATTTAAAAATTATTATAATTATTACAAATGTAAAGTTGCAACTATCTATTGCATCAAAACCAGCCTATTTTTTAGTAAATTACAACTATTTACTATATCAGAATCTGCCATATTTTTGATTTATTTAATAATTATTCTTAATATTACAAATATAAATTGCTATCATAGCAGAATCTGCTATATTAGTTTATTTGATGATTATTCTTTATAGTTGCA